CCCCAAAACCCCAAAACCCCAAAACCCCACAATTATTTTCTAAAATTGAAGAATTTTAACAATGGATCTTGTTTTTGGAAGAGTTCCCAAAAGTTCATCTGTGCTTTTTGTGAAGAGACACAAAGTACCTAAAGATAGTATTCAAGATTACGATATATTTATTTTCCAAAGGAATCCAAATACCAAATTTGGAGGTTTATATGCCTATCCTGGAGGTAAAATAGAGTCGCAAGACTCTATCGACCATTGGGAAAGCATTTATAAGCATTGACCTTCATCTTTTGCAAGATTTGAAGACTTTTCACTGAGAATTACATGTCTTAGAGAACTGTATGAGGAATGATTTATCTTGCCTTGATATCAAAATGGAGAATTTAAGGTTCTCACAAAGGAAGATATTGATACATCTGAGATAAAGACAGATCGTTTCCCAGAATTTTGTAAATCGCTTCAGGTTCTACCAGCATTGGATAGACTAAAAGCTTGGAAGAGGATAACTCCTCCTCACAATATTTCAAGGAGGGATGATACCTTGATATATTTGTATTTTATAGAGAATGATGAGGATGATTCCATTATCCTCAATCAAGATGAACTTACTGAGTATATCTCAGGATCTCCTTGTGAGATTATGAAGCAGTACTCTGATGGGGAGATTCTGATGGTACTACCCCAACCAGTTACCATTTGATGGTGAGGGTATTTTACTGCTTATGATGAACTTAAAATGGCAGCAGAGAAAGCAGACAATAGTATTGCTACATATTTTGAGATGAGGAGTGATATTGTTCCTGTACCTGATTCATCTCTGAATCGGGATACTAAAATTAACTCAATATCTAAGTTTTCAGAAATGTTTAATGATTTTGACTATCTTGAACCTGAAATGAGAGATGAGAAGTGCCAATTAATTCTCTTCGACACTCAAGTTCCTGAGGAGTACCAGTTTAATAATGAGCAAGTTATGAAAAGGATTATGAATAAAGGAGAAAATGATGGGTTAAAAATAATGATCAGGATTTACCCAGGTGATTTTGCACATCCAAATGAATCCTTTCCTTGGGTTGTAAAACCCTATTATAGACACAGGGTGTATTACTATGCATACAGGATTTTTAGATACGAAATCTCAAGACCTATTTTTGAAAGGTATTTCAAGTACTCAGGATATTCTAAGATTTAGTTCAATTTTAACATTTTTTTTTGGGGTTTTGGGGTTTTGGGGTTTTGGGG